TTCCCAAATGACCTTTTAACTTTTTCTTTGAACCAGGATCCAATCAAGATTTGTATGTTTCATTCCCCCATCCTTTATATATTCATTCATTCATTCCTTGTTTATGACATTAACTTTGTGAAGAGATCAGGGCAGCTGCCCGCAAACTGTCCCAGACCCAGGTTCACGATTGTTTTCTCGTGCACTGTGGGTGGCCTTCCTCTGTGTCCTGAAAGCAGGGGTGCAGACCTAAAGGCTGGGCAAGGTTTAGGCTGGACTGAGCTGCAAGTGATGCTGGTGTTAGCGAGCCCTCTTGCTCAACTGTAGTGGCCAACAGTTATCTCTTACTACACTCTCTTGAGACATTGACAATGACCAAACCATCGTTAACGCCTGACCAGAAAAGTCCTAATAGCAACAGAAGGCTTGTAGAGGACCGCATGCAGCACGTCCCCTTCCCTGCCCACGACCAGGGGCTGAGCACATACCGAACCCCACCCGTGATTATGCACTCTCTGCCTGCTCTCTTGCACGTACCCCCTGAACCTCTCTCGAGAAAACTCTAGGTGTCCATCTTGCCAACAGTGGAGAGGTGGGTTGGTGAAGCTCGAGCCTGCTGCGTCCCCTCGTTGACGGCACCCAGAGTAAATTTCTACCTTTCTCTTTTCCAAACCCTCCTCTCTTGAGTGCTTGGCTTCTCTTGCAAGATGTTTATCCACGTTTGTTCGACAACACTGTTGGCAAACCCGGCCCTGAGCTGTGTTTCCACTTGTGCAGGCTCCTCGATTCCTGAGAGGGAGCAGTTGACCGGGCAGCGCCAGGGCTCCCCTTCCTTCTCTGAGTTACTGGCTGTGATAGACCCTTCGGCAACACTGGTACACGGTGCCCCGGTGGTGCCAGACATTTGGGGTGCGGCTGACACCCCCCTCCCCGTGACATCTTTTTCCCTCCGTTGTTGCATTTTCGGATGACCTTCGCCTGCACCAACCGTTCATGGGGGGCTTCACGGGGGTCTGCCTCCAATTTGACCACTCCTGTGCTTGCTCTCTGGCATCCTTCGCCCACTGGCGGGGTTGATGCATCCACACGACTCCTGAAACAGAATGCTACGGGCACCAGTGACAGTCACAACAAAGTTTATTACAATGAGAGGCAAGGCCGACCGATCGGGACCAACACGCTTGATAAGAGTGCAGCCCCGAACAGCCGGGGTACAGAGTTTTTATAACCGATCACATCGTTTTATCATCACCTGGGAACAGAACAAAGAAAGTTTCCAGATGAGTCAGAAACAGTTGCCAGATGAGTTAGAAACAGTTGCCTAATGAGGTGTTTATTTTAGACTTTCTGCCTCTAAGTTGCAACCAGTGGATCTCCTTGACCCTGCCTCTGACGCTCTTTTCTTTGAACTTTTGTTTCCTTAATTGGTGAAGCCTAATTTACAAGAGTATGAAGCTAGTTTACAAGAGCAAAGCAAG